TCTGGGGATATTAGCTACAATTGCTAATTGGATATGCACACTAACTTGGCTAAGCACGCTGAAAATCACACCAAATCTATGTACGTAAATATATATACATATAGAGGTACATAGATTTGCATTCATGTATAGACTAAAGATAATTATGATGAGACAGAAGAGCTAGATTGTTGTAGTAATACTATTAAGAAAAGGTTTATTTATTTCATCCTCCTCTATTATGTGTGCCTGAATTTTAGTACTATCGCTAAAGCACCTCTTGCAAAGGACTGACGAGATATCCACTCTCAGAATATACAGTGCTACTTGAAAAATATAATGATGCACATTAATGAATGCCTCAATTATATCAAGTCCATGAATTACAAGTGTAATGCATATATTTATAGAGATTCTCATAGTTTTTATACTCATATGAATAACACATAATCAGCAAAAATGTTCATGCATATATTGATATGTAGCAGGTTTGGATAATAGCATTTTATTTAATATGTGAGAATTGGAAAATCTTCATGTTTTCCATTCTTTTAAGTAAACTTATAAGAGATGACTAGGGTAAAAAAAACGTGTTAGCATAAAACACAATAGATGGAAAGTGAAGAAAAATGCATAGCTTAAGGCTAAAACAACGTGAAGTGAAAAACATCTTTTGTCTGACTTCTCAATTTTTCACTCTATATAACATAAACCCTAGTCATATACCCGTTGCAAGTGTCATCATTATGGTCAACTTCTATTTTTTTGTAGAGGAAATTTCGTTGCATCTTACAGATAAGATAAATAGACATCGAAATTCATGTAAGAATATAGGAGGGGGCAATGGCGGAAACACCAGCACAAAGACGTGACGGTAGCAGCACACCAACAAAAAAGTAAGTGCCGCAAAGTCAAGGTTGATGATGACGAAGAAATAGTGAAAGAAGAGGCGACAATGATGGAATAAGTGTCGGGAAGACGTTGGGCAAAACCTTAAATATAATAGAAAAAAAGAGGACGACAAAAAGGAAACAAAAGAAGAGGAGACATAGGGCCAAGAGGAAACAGAAGAGGAGGAAGAGGACATGTGAGAAGAAGAGAACACGGGCGACGAGGAAACTAGAAGAGAAGAAGTAGAGGGAGTGATTTTCCCATAATACTATCTCTAATTTACTTATTTACACAAGTGTTTGTTTAAGTTTGTAGGTTTCTTTTTCATTAGTAGTTAGGGTGTGAGCTTATTTTTATATGTGTCTGTTTAGTTGTGTCTGTCTATAATATCTATGAATTTCTAAAGCTTCTGAATCTATTGATTTAATCTATAGATCATCATATACTTTTTCTCTATGTATATAAAATTATTAATTGACTAAGTAGTCAATCCTAATCAATTAAGAGTCAGAAGTGGAAAGTGATGAGGACATCCAGGCACGTGCACGGGACTTTTGCCGTGTTTATCAGCGTAGGAAACGTCGTATTTCACCCGTGCATCTCACCCGTGCATCAGATCCCTGCGATATAGTTTTGATATTTTAGATTTTTTTTTTCAGTTAGTAGTTGATTTCAGATTTGAATTGTGAGATGAGATTTGTTAGTTATTTAGTTTGTTATTGGATGAGGTTGAGAGAGATTTGATTGAGATTTCAAAAATCTGTAATATTCTTCTCTATATAAACCTTATTGTAATCAGAATTATTATTGAAGATTGAATGAAAAATTGAATTGGCTTAATTGAGGTGTGAAACCCTAGGCAATTTTATTTTTCAGTGTTCTTCTCCACGTCAATTTTCCAGCCGCCAAAAGAAAAATCCATGTTCCAAATTAACCACCCCTCCTGTTCATCTCCTTCAACCTCTGTTCCCCACCCTCGTCCCGCCCTCGTCGTCTTTCAATCTCGTCGTACCGACGCCGGGTTCTCGTCCTCAGCCACCGAAGGCCGCCGCCGCTCTTCGCTCTTGAGCAGACATCGTGTGCTTCCTCTCAGATCGAAGTCGAACCGAATGGATTTTCGGGTCTAGTGCTTTGAACAGACCCGGCCCCTTTATATTCGGATATGATTGGAGTTGGTTCAGACTCGAACCAGGTTCAGTTGGACCAGGCCCTGACCCAGACCCAATCTGCACTGTTCTGAATCTCGACTCCGCAGTCTGTTGGTGTATGGCTGATCCTGACGCTGAAGACAACGATCTTGTGCTTGACCCAGAGACTGGTATTGTAGATTTACAGCTTTCCCCGTGGTTTGATTACCAGACGTTCAAGAGTGTTCCTGAATACGTCGAATGCGTGACTCATCAGATTGTAGACAGTGTGGAGAGCCGTTTGGGAATTAGCTCTTGGCACCGATATTTTTATCCAGACACGCCGCTTCATCCCAATTACGTAGCTCTCGGAGGAGAACTCCCGCCACTCAGATTCGGAGTTATTACACCGCCTCCAGAGGTCCATCACGTCAAACCAGTTCAGCACGACGAATGTTTATTTCTCTATCAACCTAATATTTTCGGAACCGCTATTGCGTTCATGCTATTATCAATTTTAATATCAAATACGATTGTGTTGTATTCCGTTTAATTAGTGAGTGAGCGATTGTGTTATATCAAATGCGATTGTGTTGCCAAGTATATTTGCTGATCTAATATTACGAGTCGAAGTGTATTAAGAGAACAAATTATTACATTGATTATCTGAATAATTTACAAAGGTCTAAACTTAGTACTTTTGTAAATTTTGCTTAAAAGCCATCGAAAGCTTTATTTTCTTCTTGAACTTCCTGCCTAGATCGATCGCTGATTTGACGAAACATTACTGTCATTAATCTTTGTACCTGCATCACATTGTTTCGCATCATTTTTGGTATCAGAGCGTGGTTCTAGATTAGGAATTTTTTCTTTATTTAAAAAAATTAGTCATCTCATTAGCTGTTAGTACACACATTTCATCTCTTTTAGCTGTAGTGCATGCCCACTCGCATAGGTTTACCCTATTAATTAGGAGAGTCAAGTGAGTCAACTAGTGAGTCCAGCATGTTAGGCAACACAGATCCCGAACTCCTTAAGCAAATCACTGAGCTAGCACGACAAATAGGTAATTTAGCCCAGGAGAGCCAAGCTACCCGCGAGACCTTGAATGATAACAACGAGAGATTAGCGAGGCTCGAAAAAGCACATGTTGCAACTCCTCCGCCGCAC